CTTAAACAATGCGTTTGTGCTTTTTCCAATGGGAATGCAATGAAACGAACGGGGAGGTTAATTACAGCCACGCTTCACATCATGGTGGTCTGGTTGTTCGGTACTTTGGTTCGGATGGTGAATTAAGCAGTTCAATTAAGTTTTATATGGCTTTTTACTGAACAACCAGACGAATGCTTTAACTGTATAATAAATCCACATGAAAGTCTTTAACAAAAATCCACACAAAAATCTTTGGGGTCATCAAGCAAATAAACAGGGAATATGCTGGAAAGCCAGAGGGTCTCTGCTACACTCTTTATCTGAGAGTCAAACAGAAGTGTCAAATACTGCACTTACAGCGCAGTTTGAAACATTCTTATTTTCTGGCAGTGTAACACCTTCACCACCAATTTCAGCACAGCCAGGGGGAAACGACAGCAGGCTGTTTTAAAACTCATATGTTTAGGGGGGAAAACCCACACCGCGCAGGAGCTGTGGACGGGCATGGAACAACAGACCGATGACTATGAGTGGTTGTTGCCACTGAGCCTCAAGCCCGGCCTGGTGGTGTGTGATACTGGGTGAAATCTCGTAGCAGCTCTGGGCCTAGCTGGTTTGCCGCACATCCCTTGCCTGGCGCATGTGCTGAATTTGGTGGTGCAGAAATTCCTGAAAAACTACCCAGATATATCAGAGCTGCTGCAGAAAGTGCGGGCCATCTGTGCGCGCTTTTGGCGTTCTCACCCTGCTGCTGCTCGCCTGTCTGTGCTGCAGCATAACTTCAGCCTTCCCGCTCACCGCCTCATATGCGACGTGCTCACAAGGTGGAACTCCACCTTGCACATGCTGGAGAGACTGTGCGAGCAGCAGCAGGCGATAGTGGATTTTCAGATGCACCTTGTGCAGAATAAACATTTGTACCAGCCTCACCCAGCCATTATTATACTCAAGTGCACTTTTTCTTTTTTTTTTTTTTCTTTTTTTTTATATGTTGTAGCGGAGAGCTGATATTTCACAGGTTATCTCCACTTAAGATCTTAGTGAGGCTCAGGAACAAGTATTATAAATCCATAAGGCAGTACTTTCAGCAGGCAAAACAATCCAACAATATCCCAACATCAATCCCAATGACTGGACGACACACAGCATCAGGAGCAGAACTGACTTTTAATCCACACAACCTCCTTATAAAGCATTCTCCCATGCAAGGGAGGGATTCACCATAATTAGGACAGTAACCAATAATGTCACAGTTACCTCCCACACATCTCCTCCCGTCAGTGTGACACATAATCCCATTAAACATGCTGTAGTTTTCCCTGAGTTCTGGATGTACCCCAAAGCAGTTAGAATAATACTTTGGGTACCCCCTGGTATCCCTGATCTGGGTGACTAACATATCCAAAATTCACCCAGATCGGACCAGGGGTTCGGGAGTTAGGTGGAGGGTGTAATTTGACCGATCGCACACGAGGTGGTATCCGAAAAAGGCTCCATGTGTTTTGGCCTTGCGGTCGGTCTCTGTTCGGAAGTTAAAAGACATAGAAATACCTGCCATCCACAGCTAACCATTCGTATTAATTCCCTTGTTCGGGACATTGATTTTACCGAACGAAGGGCTGACTAGTCCCTCTGTTTGTGAGTTATGGAACTCTGGAGGTCTCAGCGGTGTTCGATTGTTTGAGTGTCCGATTTGAGTTCCAGACACTCGACGACAAAACACCGCTGAGATTTTCATGCATAACGTGGGGATATTTATGGGATGATAATATTATACAGTTGAGAATTGCCCACTATTTCATTTCTCTTAGATCTTAGAGATCGTTATCACGTAAGTGAAATGTATTCCATACAAATAAAATCACAATTTGATATAAAAATAGATATAATTTATTGTGACAAATAAAATAATAATAATATTAGGCAGCATGCATGATAATAATCAGTGAATTTTTAGTATAACATCGTATACAATGGCAATGGCTAAACACAGTACAAAGCTACAGCGTCAACTGTCAAGACTTACACGATTTATGAGGCTACATCACAGACACAGAAAACTAAACTTCCAGCGAAAAGCCATAAAACCTTGGCTAACAGTTAGATCAACTGAGCAACCCTTTCAATGCTGGCTAGATCCTCCTAGGCATATAATATCCTATTCTCATGTGATTTTCAATTAAAATAACATTCGAACCAGCTCATTAATCATTTCCTGGAACCATCCAATAAGAATAATCTACCAGATTTTTAGAAAAGCTGAATTTTAATTTGTCTAAAAAGATATCTTATCTTATTTTAGAGCAAATCAATACACCTGGATAAAAACAGCGGTATGCTAACACGTGATACTATCACATTAATATATAATTATTCTTAATTCCACCTGCAGTATGGAATGTTTATAACTATATATTCTTTAGTTAACTAAGATTTCTAAATATTGAAATCTGACCGTGATTTATCCAGTCATATAACATGCTATTAGATTTTAATTAATTTAGATTAATTAAATAAAACCAGCATAATAACCAGTTATGTAGATATTCTCATCAGATGAGTAGGTAGTCCCAGGAACTTGGATGCGAGTATGATTGGTTGTATGGAGGTGTGCAAGTAATAGAGAAAAGTGATGTTGGTTAGAAAGTAATAGTAAAATTCTAAGTGTCAAGGAGTGTTTCTAGAGTTGTGTCCAAGAGAGTTTGAGGGTTAGTGCCAGAGTGTCCTGGATCTCTCTGAATGTCCGAATCTGAATGCCCAAAAACTAACCTCTCTCTTCCCTTTGTCCTAACTTTTAAAGGGCCAGACTCTCTGTACGTCATTAGTTGATAAGGCCAATAGGATACTGAAGGTGTGGTCAACCTGCAGATTGCAATTTAGATTATTCGTCCATAGAGGGCAGTCTCACCTCACTAAACCTTCCTATCCAGGAAAGAGTTAACTTTTCCTGATGACGATTTTGACGTCATTTGGCTTATCTAAAATAACTACCATAACTTAAATTTGTTGTCAGTTCAAAGCGTTTGCCCCAGTCATTGTGGCAACGACATTGATCGTAATTTCTAAAATTGACAGTTCTAAACTCAATTTCACCCCTTACTTACAATGGGTCCTTGTAAAATGTAGAGAGTAAAATTAATTACTTAGTCTTCTCTGTCACTATTTCTATTCTATTAATATTTAAACAGAGCATTCCATCGCCCTGCTTCATTGCTTATCACTTGGCCTGTTTACATAATGCATTCCTTAGCTCAGGCTAGTGGCTAGTTACAGAAAGGAAAGAAATTTTGTGTCTGTCTTGCCTGAAATCCAAAATGGAGTCCGCTCTGTTCTGAGTGACTCTGGCAATATACACTTTTAATTTCAATCTTAGCACAAAATGTCTGCCAATATAAATATCCTGACAGTAAGATGGTCGCCGCACGTGGTTCGTATGCCAAACAGCGACCACACAGGCACATACCAATGTATCAATTAAGCTGCGGTTTGCAGAGTGTGAACGCTTAACGAGGCGCACACTTCTCACTGGGGTGGTCTGATGGTTCGGTAGTTTCATTTATATGAAACTACCGAACAATCATACGAAACTACATACACTTTATAGACATACAGGGAAACAATTACACGAATACATTTTCAATACGAATTCCTAAGGACAGCCTTAATACAATCCACTACACTGCTCCCCCTTGCCCACAAGCTGGCATACACAGTCTGATCCAACACGGATCGGCTTGGGGATGCCCGGAGATGCTCACGGATCATTTCTCCAAGTCTGTCTGTCTCGACAACCCGTCAACATTTCCATTTTGTTTACCCGGGCGGTACTGAATGTTAGTCAAAGGGCTGCAGCGCCAAACTCCAGCGCAGCAGCCTGGCATTGTCCCCAGCCACCCGGTTCAGCCATACCAATGGGTTGTGATCCGTGAGCAATGAAAAGAGCTGTCCATACAAATACGGCTGCAACTTCTTTAGGGCCCACACCACAGCCAGGCATTCCTTCTCGATGGCGCCGTAGCTTACTTCTCTGGGTAACAACTTGCGACTGATGTAAGCCACGGTATGTTCTCCGCCATTGGCCCCGACTTGGCTCAGCAATGCCCCCAATCCAAACATAGACGCGTCTGTGTGAACAAGAAAACGTTTAGTTGGATTGGGCACTGCCAAGATAAGTGCATTTTTGGTAAGTGCATTTTTCAGATGTTGGAATGCCTGCTCACATTCCGGGGTCCAGGTTACTTGGCGGGGAAGGTTCTTATGGGTCAGGTCAGTAAGGGGTTTGGCCAGGGCACTATAATTGGGGACAAACTTCTTATAGTATCCCGCTGTCCCGAGAAATGCTAGCACCTGAGTCTTAGTCCTAGGAGTGGGCCATTGGGCTACGGCCTCTACTTTGGCTGGTTCAGGTTTCTGCTTTCCACAGCCCACTCGATGTCCCAGGTATTGTACCTTGGCCATTCCTATACTGCATTTGGCCGGTTTCAACGTCAGACCGGCCTCCCTAATGCTGTCTAGAACCACTCCTATATGGGCCAAGTGTTCCTGCCAGGTATTGCTAAAAATGGCAATAACGTCTAGGTATGCACAGGTGTAGTCCTGGAAACCATCGAGGAGTCGGTCCACCATCCGCTGGAAGGTAGCTGGAGCATTTTTCATCCCAAACAGCATGACTTTAAAGTGGTACAGGCCGAATGGGGTGACAAAGGCTGACTTAGGGATGGCGTCCAGAGCCAAGGGAATCTTCCAATACCCCTAACACAGATCAATAGTAGTGAGGTATTGGCCTCTGGCCATCCGGTCTAGCAGCTCATCTATCCTGGGCATAGGGTACGCATATGATACTGTCTTCTCATTCAACCTCCGGTGGTCCACGCAGAAGCGGGTCGTACCGTCCCGCTTTGGTACGAGAACTACGGGAGAAGCCCAGGGGCTGTCGGAGGGTTCAATCACCCCCAGTTGGAGCATCTCATCGATCTCCTTGTGCATATTCTACTGCACCGCTTCAGGGATGCGGTATGGGATTTGGCGCATGGGGAGTTGGCCTGGGGTTTCCACCCGGTGAGTGGCTAGAGGAGTGTACCCAGGCACATTAGAGAAAGTCTCCTGCTTCTCTCTTAGCAGCTGTTGTACCTCGGTACGTTCCTGTGGGCTCAGCCGGTCTCCCAGCACAACTTCCCCTAAATCTCCAGACAGCTGACCGTCTCCCAGTAGATCTGGGAGGGGGAGGCTGTCAAACTCATCAGAGTTGGGTGCACAAATAGCCGTCAACTCTTCTGAACGTTCCTGGTAGGGCTTCATCATGTTTACATGAAGCATGTGTCGCCCTCCAGTCCCTGCGCAGGGGCCAATTATATAAGTGGTGTCACATCTCTGTTCCACCACTTTATAAGGGCCTTGCCAGGCAGCCTGTAACTTATCATGTCGGACAGGTTTTAAAATTAAAACTTTCTGCCCTACCTGGAAGCTACCGTCCCTGGCGCCTCGATCATACCAGGTGCGTTGGCGCGTCTGAGCCGCTTGAAGGTTCTCCTTTACCGTCCTCATTAGCGCTTCAAGGCGGTCCCGGAGTGCCAACACATATGGTACAATGGGGGTACCGTCTGCGCTCCGGTCTCCCTCCCAATGCTCCCTAATTAGGTCCAGCGGCCCTCTTACTCTCCTCCCGAATAATAGTTTGAATGGGGAAAACCCGGTCGATTCCTGCGGCACCTCCCTGTAAGCAAAGAGGAGGTGAGGCAGGAATCACTCCCAGTCCCGGTGGGTTTCAGCAAAGGTTCGGAGCATTTGTTTTAATGTACCATTGAACCGCTCACAGAGCCCATTGGTCTGGGGATGGTAGGGGGCATTGATTATAGGCTTAACGTCACAGAATTTCCAGAGGTGCTGGGTGACCTCTGCAGTGAACTGAGTACCCTGATCCGAGATGATCTCCAGGGGTGTGACGGTAGTAGTCAATATCACCGTCTAGTATTCCTTTTCCCAATAGCATAATAACTTTAATAATCCACAAGAAGAAATATCGCTGTAATCGCCAAATAATCCACACATGAGCCAAGGCTTAATGCTGGAAAAAGACTGATTTTACTGGCACACAGGGCACACAATTTATGCAACACAAAACTCCTCTGGGCCAGGCTAGATAATTGGGTTTGAGCAACATGCTAGCCCAATTATCTGCTGGCCAGAAAATTTACAGTTTTTACAATTTTTTAAAACAATACTTTCCACATCACATATTAATATAAATTGTACATCCCTGGGTAGCTGATGGTCTGGGGAGCAACATACTTAAATTCCACAAAAATCAGTTCGGTAGTTTTCGTGTCACATCGTGTGGAAGTTTGACCGGCTCACTGCATGCTGGTATCCGATTTGGAGTTCCATGAAATTGGGGCTAAGAGCCGGTTTCCGTTCACGTCAATTTACACAAAAACTACCAGGGTTAAGATGTCGAGAGTTCGTGGAAATAAGTCAGGCGGGACTTCCATGGGGGACCGGGTCATGCTGGAGGGCTATGCCGAAAATAGTTCCAGGCGTTCGACGCCTAAGTCCCGCTGACTGGCCGTTCGGGAGTTTAAGATGGCCGCCATCCATTGTTCTTCACCACGTGTTCGGCTCCCGAAATGGCGGCCACCCGGGAACTCTCAATCAGGGCCGGCCTTAGGTGTTCAGGCGCCCTGTGCGAAACAATCTTGTGGCGCCCGCCACTCCCCTAGTCTCTTTTTGGACCCCTTCAAAAAATGTCAGGAGCATTCACAATCTGTCGCCTCCATCCCCTTCTACAAAACCCCTGCACCTCTTCACCAAAACCCCTGGCCACCACTTCATCAAACTCCTGGCCACCCCTTCTCCTTCATTAATCCCCTGGCCACCCCTTCATCAAACTCCTGGCCACCCCTTCCCCTTCATCAATCCGCTCCCACCCCTTCATCAATTCCTGCCACCACTCACCCCCTCATCAATTCCCTCCCACCCCTTTATCAGCCCTCTGCCCCCATTCATCAGCCCCCTGACCCCCTCATCAATCCCTTAACCCCCCTTTTCTCAGTCTTCTGCCCCCATTCATCAGCCCCCGACCACCTCATCAATCCTTTCCCATCCTTTCTCAGCCCTCTGCCCCATTCATCAGCCCTCTGACCCCCTTCCCACCCCTTTATCACTCACCTTTTCTCAGCCCTCTGCCCCATTCAACAACCCTCTGACCCCCTTTATCACCCCTTTTCAATCCCCTGCCAATTAATTCAACCCCAGGCCATCCCTACATTAATCCCTGCCAACCCTTCATTAGTCCTCTGCCCCCCTCATCAGTACCCTCCTACCGCTTTAACAGCTCTCTGCCCCCATTCATCAGCCCCCTGAACCCCTCATCAATCCCCTTCCCCCCTTTTCTAAACCCTCTGCCCCCTTTAATCAGCCCCAATCCCCCATTTTCAATTCCCTGCCGCCCTTCATCAGCCCCCTTAATAAATCCCCTGCCAATTAATCCAATCCCTGCGACCCCTTCCTCAATCCCTTGCACCCCTTCAACAAAAGCTATAAAAAAAAAAAAGTCACTCACAGTAAAGGCTGATGCTTGCTGCTCCCTGGACCGAGCTATCAGTTCACCTCTCTGCCGATTGAAGAGCAGCGGGTGCCATCCTCACTCCTTCCGCGGCGTCACGCAAGTACGCGGCATCACGCCTCCACGCTCCCCCACCACACTGCATCCATAAGTGGCTTCCTGGCCGCGGCTCTCTGCTCATAATTTGCAAGTCAAGTGCAAAGCAGCATTATGCACTTGACTTGCTCTGCATGTGAAACTCGGCCGGCCTGCGAGCTGTGTTGGCCGCCCGGCGCCCCTGTTGCCATGGCGCCCTGTGCGGCCGCACAGCTCGCACACCCCTAAGGCCGGCCCTGCTCTCAATTAACTTGCGGTTTCACACGTTTCTAAGGTCTAATTGCTACCCAGGGTGGTCCTCGTTCGGTAAAATAGCTATTTTACCGAACAAGGGATTTGGACGCACAGAAAATAACGAATGCACTAGTAATACGGGTAATAAATCTCACGAATACAACAGCAGGCAGGGAAGTAGTCGAATGAATTGAGGGTGATTCTTCACATGGGGTAACCCCATCCGGGAGAAAATCTGCATCAGTGCCTCAGCCACGGTTTCTGCGTGGATATTTGTCAAGACCACCGCCTCTGGGTAGCGGGTGGCGTAATCCACCACTGTTAAAATGTACTTCTTGCCAGAAGGGCTAGGTTTCCGAAGGGGACCTATGATATCTACGGCTATTCTATGGAATGGCTCCTCAATTATCGGTAGGGGATACAACTTTGCCTTCCGCCGGTTCCCCCTCTTCCCTCTGGCATGTATCGCAGGTACTGCAATATTTACGTACTTCCTGGCTGACTCCTGGCCAAAAGAAACTCTGGGTCAGTCGATGTCGGGTACGACTGACCCCCAAATGCCCGGATAGCGGAATGTCGTGAGCTATCCGGAGTAATTTGGCTCGGTACCTCTGTGGTACGACTAACTGCCTTAGCACAATCGGGTCTGACCCAGCTACCTGCTTGTCTGACTCTCTGTATAACAACTGCCTATCCCATACAAATCTTTCCCCCTCCGCCCCAGGTTGGTCAGAGGTGACTTTGTCTCTATATACCTGCAGGGTGGGGTCAGGGATCACCTCTGCCGCAAATTCGTTAGGAGGGGCCAAAGGGACACAGTCTAGGGAAGGGGAAGGCTCTCTTACCTGAACCTCTGGTAGTGTGTTGTAGGGTGCGGGCCTGTTGCCTGGTGACCACTGGATGTGCTTCCTCAGTGATTGTGGTTTGGGGCTTAAAAGCAGAGGTGAGCTTTCCCAGGTCATTTCCTAGTACCACCTCTGTGGGTAATTGTGGCATCAACCCCACTTCCACATTTCCCGACCCCGTAAATGAACCTTTGGCAACCCTGACGGCCACAGTCTTACTGGTTTTGGCTTTGTCCGAGACCAAGTGGCTTTGGACCAAGGTTATGGTGGCCCCGGAATCTCGGAGTCCCTGCACAGCTTTTCCCTCCAAGTAGATGGTCTGCCTGTGATGCTGTCGATTATCAGCATTTGCTTGGAGTGGGTTAGCTTCATGTAGTACCTCCCACTGTTCTATAGTAGTGACGGGAACTGCAGAACCATAAGTGGCGGGTGTCTCGTCCTGGTAGTGATGTGCCGCTGCTCTCGGTGGTGGTGGTGGACCTGGTCAGATCCATGTGGATCGGTCTCT